TCAACCGCGTCACAACGGGATCCAAATACCGTCCCGAATGCTCAAAGTTCCCCGCCACCGGCACCACATTCTCAGCCAGCGTCTCATTCCGCGCCTTCTGCGTATGGTAGTCTATCGCGCAGATGTTCGTCCCGCCCGGGCATTCTTCCGCTTTGGACACGCCCTTTGTGCGTTTCAGCGGGCGGCAGATGTCGAGCGTGAAGGTCCAGGTTTGGGTCACCAGGTTCGTGGACGCGTAGGTCCAGTTTAGGACGTGCTCCCCGGACAGGGAGGAAAGGTCGAAGTGCTTTTTGTCGACGACGACGGAGTTGCAGTCGAATGTTACGGCGGCGATGAGGCTGGGGAGGGCGAGGAAGGTGGTGGGGAGGGAGGAGTGGGGGAGGCGCATGGTGGTGAGGATGTAGACTAGGTAGGGCGACGCGAACTGATTAGGAGAGATGAGGACGTCGAAGGGTCTTTGGTGATGCCGTCAAGTGAAGTAAGGAGCGACAAGAAGGTTAGGCTGGAAATGGAGGCGTTCTGTTTGCACAGGGTGGAAGCGCGTGGTGATTGATGCTGTGGGTTTGTGTTTAATGTTGCATGGTTTGGCGGATGACGCTTTCGGAGTGAGATGGAAGGCTTGGCGCTTGATCCGGGGATTCGCCGAGTATCTTCGTTTTCGACTTCATGCTTCTATTTTTGGATATCGCGTTTCCTCACGGCAGTCATTACTCGCTTGGAAGTCTAACACTTTACAAGCGCAGGCAGTGCAGGCCTTTCGACAGCTGTTTGACAAGTGGGCAAGTAAACTTTTCGTAGAAAAAGTTGTATGTAAGATGATGATTGGAAACATCAGCTAGGTGATAACCATTCGTTACGCAAGGCTTCCCATATCTAGTCGTCGAGAGAAACCTCCGTGCTTTGTTGATCCTGTTGGTTCTTCCAAGATGCATCAATCCACCCGTCTTCTCAGAATTCTTCAAGTCAAACGTTCCGTTCCTGAATCTGCCGCAGGGGATCCGGGACAACGTTTACAGGGTCACAATCGACGAGGGTGCGTAACCAAAGCCTCACTATCGCATCTCTAGCCGGGATCAAAAGAGACGTCACAAGCTCCATTTACATCGCGGGTCAATTCAAGCCTCGAGCAAGCAATCAGAATCACTCATTGAAATGTCTCCTTGTCGACGCGAAGCTTGGGAGACGTACTGTAGATGGATCGTGGGAGAGGCTACTAGCTCAAGCTTACTCTCTTCTGACATTAAGCTTGCGATGAGGCTTCAGGGAGGCAAAGCGGGTAGGTAGAGCCGATTTCTGGAGGATTTGATTCATGTACCGAGCAGTTGACCCTGGGTAATTAGGGGAGACGCTCCATCTTTATGTAGAGCCCTAGCCTTTTCTCTCCATTCACCGATCGACCGTATCTGGATGTAAGACTGTATGGAAGCATCCATATCATGCGGTAAACCAGAGAGAAGACACTTGATGGACTTTGATAGAGTAAATTAGGATCACGATATATGACACTTCGCATTCTTATGACTTGGGGAGTGTCTGCCTTTGCCATAGACATCTGAAGTGCCTGTAATGCCATGTTCCTTTTTACGCTCAGGCGCCTCAGATGGAGAGTTGAGTCAAGTCACTGATTGCTGCTCCAGTTCCGCAGACATACAGCTTATACCCATAGCTTGATCTGAGTCGTGCTTTTTCGCTCGGGACGTGAGATAGATGGCTCATCATTTCAAAACCGGTCGTGTTGAGGATTATCCTGGCGAAAGATATGTGCCGCGACAGAGTATGCCAGAGACGCTGCAAGGGTCGTACCAGCCGCGTATTCTTTGTAGACTACTTAGGTTGGTGAGGCAGAAGGTACGGTTCCGGCTCCGAGAGACTGAACTGTATAGTTGCGAGCCGACGATTTGGCATTCGGTCACAGTCGAACGCTTCTAAAGGGAAGCGGCAATGGATGGGACATGCTGGCAGTTCCCAGGTTTACCGTAGGTATCGCCGCGCTTTCCTTCCTTGCCTGCCACGTGTTTATGCGCGCCGACCTTATACCGACTTCATCGTACGCCAGTGTCTTATCTATACTGGAGCATAAAATGAAGCTGAGAACTTCGCCCTCCATGATCATTATCAGCATCGTTTGTCACCTAGCAGAGCTTCGATATCAATCTCATGCCCTCCTCTCTGCGCGTCTCACTCCCTTTTTCCAGTGTCGGCGGCATTTTCTCGCGCCCTGGTACCTGTTTATGTCTTTAGCGGTCTGGACCTTGCCTCTGTCATGGTTTCCCTGTGAATGATTTTCTATCATTGATGGCGTCTCGAACACGCTGTCACATCTGGTGTTCCGAGTCAAGCTCTTCCAAAATCTGTTACTGGTTCGCTTCGCTCACTTTTGAGCCAACTCACTCAGTCAGAGACCGTTCCAAGCGCTCAAAGTTCGACACCAGCGCCGTCGGTGTTGTCGTCTTACAGGCGTATCCGTTCTGGCTTTCGAGTCCGGATATTGTCGGAAGACAAATGATACGTGCTATCGCGGACCTTGCTCTTGCATAAACTTGAGTGCGAGCAAAATAAACGAACTTCTAGTTTGCACCTGCGCGCAAGCTCCTACGCACGGAAAAATCTTGTCGTCTGTAGGCCTTCACATCCCCGTCATCAAGTCCGAAGACTCATTCGCACCTGTCCTTCGTCACGTACTGCTACACAGCATGATTCATGAGAGTGAAGATAGAGAGACTCACCAGGATGCTTCGCTAAGAAGTGAAAATCCCAAGCACTATGGTCAACGATTCCGACACCAGACACCGCGGACCGCCTTATTCCGTTAACCCGACCGAATACATGCTCTCTCCAATCCTCATTTCAATACAAGCTACTTCAGACATACTTTCCATTGAATGAACATTTGACCCCAGTCGGTCACTGTAGTTGCTTGTGTGACAGATGCTTGTCCTGTTTTCGTCCGAAGATGAACGCGAGAACTGGTCACGGACGACGCCGGCCCCGCCCGATTTCAGCCTAGCTGTATACGATGTACGAACGCAAAAAGCATTCTCGCCATGGTTGCTTGAGCAGCCCAGCACCCGAGGACATCAAGCGCAGGGTACTTGCAAGGGCATCGCATGTAATGCTCTGCCCGCCAACGGCGAGTGCTTCCCGTTGGAAGTCTGACCCTCACACGGATAGGAACAAAAAGTGATCGAACCCAGGTTTGAACTGGGGACCTTCAGTGTACAAATATCGCCGAGCTTTGCAAGCCCGAGTCTTGTTAGACTGACGTGATAACCAACTACACCATCCGACCGCTGAGTGGCGCCGAAATTTTACATTAGCGCATATTTGCTGATCACATCTGCAGCCGGTATCATTGACGAACAATGAGGCGCGATAATCCGTGTAGGGCGAGGAGCTTCTCGTCCGCGACGCGATGAAGCTCTTTTCCAGCGTAGTACGACGACCAATAGATGCCTCTACAGGCATCATTACCACAGGCCTCACAGTCAGTATTTCCGTACTGGAACACTACTGCTTTTTGAGAAGATGAGCGATGGATTGGGGTTCTATAGCCCGCCTCCCGGCCATCCCTCTCACCCATGAACAAAACCTTCTCCGCACCCCAGCCTACATTCTTCAAAGCTGTCCCGTTGGCCGGTTGAACAAGAGTACACCTCAGCAGCCTTCGGTCGGAGATGGCAGACTAATGTGTAAGACTTTGCCGCCGAAGATATGCTAACTCTATGGATCATGAGTTTCTCGTCGCTGACTGACCGCCCTAAGAACGCTGCAGTCCTTGGGGAAAAGATGCTGATCCGCAGTAGTTTGAAACGGCGAATACGCGCTCGGAACGAGCTCGGTATGTTATACAAGCGTCCGAGCACGGTAGCTAAAGGATGCGTTCAGCAACAGTATACTACCAACAGGGCTTTCCATCCATCACCTGTCCCGGAGCATGCATGCTAATTAAAAGTAAACCGCAGAGTTTCCCTTGCACAACCTTGCGAATAGTGATCTGCTAGGCTGCAGGTACCACAGTATCTCCAGTAGACTAATATACAATGATTGCACATGGCTACATGACCCAAGCGTAGGCTCTCAGGACCCGACGTGATCCTATGACCTGGAGATGCCTTAGGGTTGTAATCTGTAGGCAGCCGCTGTGTCGGAACGAATGTGTAGGACCGAAGGTAGGTTCACGGTTTTCGCACCTTTCATTTCCAGTACTGCCACCTTTCGAGATCTCTTCCTTTATGTGAAAATGGCGTGCAGGCATATAGCATGCGTCCTCACTATCCTCAACGTTATCTACGCTCAAGATGCTATATTGGATTCTCTCGACTACGTCGATACCCTGATCGGCAATACCAACTTCGGTATCACTCAAACTGTTTCGTAATCGTCAGACCGTCTCCCGAATGCTCGAGTATTCTCACAACAACTTTGCTATCGCGGAGATGGCGCAAAAGCTCGATGGCGTCAAACAGACTACGAGAAGTACATTGAAAGCAGCAGCAACTGGGAAACCCTGTTCAAAGCCGATCAGAAGAGCTTCAAGAACGACACGAACGCTGATACAGGCTTCACCGGATCCTTCCAGCCCATACACCTTAACCAAACCTGGGGCTTCTAAAACCCGCTCTACTGCAGCAACCTCGACAATAATAGCACCAGCGTCTGCTCGCTCCAGAACATCGCCTCCGAAACCCACGAAAGTAGTGTCTGGAAATACCCCTTCTTCGTCCCGCACGCCCAATCCGAGCTCATCAGTGCGCTAGGCGAGCCGGAAGAGTTCGTTTGCCGTCTCGACTACATCCACGACCAGAACATCACTACCATTAGCAACGGGCCCAGCTTCTTGACCGTATACCGGTACGATTACGCCGGCCGGTCGGCACGCGCTGTCCGCCAAGCGCAACCACTTCTACATCCCACGTTACTTCTCCGACACGAGGGGTGGCCTGCCTGGCAATGACGACTCGAGGGCAATGGGTAGCTTTCTCGCATTCAGCATGATGGGCCTGTTTCCTAATCCGGGGCAGGATGTGTATCTCATCATCCCTCCATTTTTCGAGAAGGTGTCTGTTACTCCGCCACTGACGAACAAGACTGCGCGGATACGCAACGTCAACTTGGATCCGGAGTACGAGGCGATATATATACGGTCAGCTACGCTAAACGGGAAGCGTTATATGAGAAATTGGATCGGCCACTCGTTCTTTCTGGACGGGAAGGAGCTCGTGCTTACGCTGGGCCGGAATGAGAGTTTGTCGGGAACGCGAGTGAAGGATTTGCCACCGCCTTAGACATACCGTTCGCTTACTGTTTGGTCCGCCGCCTTCTGCGTCTGTAAGACTCGCTAGGCTAGACTTGACTCACAGATTCGAAATCAAATGGCTTTTCTGGTTGTGACTTAGGCTGTCAAATGCGTCTCCGGGGAGCTGGAATTGCCGTCTCAGAACACTACGCA